GCGGATGGGGCGGGCAGCTGGCTTTGCTTGCCTTCCACATGTTAAAAAACATAACGTGGGAAAAAAAAAAAAATCTAACCCTTTGGGCACAAGGGGTTCCCGGTCGCGTGAAGATCCACCCTCTCGTTACCATGACACATAGGCTGGTGGCCAGCAGCTGGCACTTGGTGGTCCTCATCCCACACCTCGGTCCCACGGCCTGCCTCGCTCCCTCCGTGGCCGGCTGCTGGTCCCCACAACTCTTGATAAAGCCAGAGCTTCAGCCCAACTGGGGCTTGCTCGCAGCAGGGCCTCTTGGGAAGTGTAGTCTCCACCTACGCACAGACACACCTCCTCCAGCTGGAGGAGTAAATCCTACTGCGGGTGGCTGTCCTCTTCCCAGGTTCTCCATGGTCTACCAGCAGCTGTGAAACACAGCCATACAGCCAGCTGGGAAATAACAGAAAAGCAGGCAGGAAAACGGCTTTTCAAAGTTCAGAGTAAACCTCAAAAAAAGAAAGGGGGGGAGGGAAGCCTGTGTGAGGCTTCTAAATCAAAAGTCAATACCAAAATGCCCCATTTTCACTGAGAAGCGGTTTTGCTTAGCGAACATTGTTGATAACTTTTTTTCTTTAATTTAGATAACAATTTTCTAGGGGAAAGTTTAGGCAAATCTTAAAAATTAACCTGTTGTTTAAAGAATATGTTAAAAAAGCCCAACCTGATCTGCATGAGATCCTACCCTCTCCATAAGATAAACAAACAAAAAAACACCACATACAAATGGTAATAATATTTGGCTGAGACTCTACAGAAGACTTATACTTTCAGATAAGGGAGGAAAAAAAAAAAAGTTACTTACATAGTGTTGAAAATGGTTATAAGAAAATCTAACCTCCTGATGCAAGATGACTCTGTGCATGCATGTGTTGACTCCCTTCTTTCCTGTCTCTTGGCACTGAAGGCCCAAAGGGCCTACGGCCTCAGAAGACTAGGGTGACTTCTGGTGTATCTTGGGCATCACGAACAAAACTGCCAAATTCCTCTTTTTTCTCCATGCCCACATGCCTTTCTGAGGGCCACGAGCAGCAAAGCAGCATCACTGGGAACAGGTCATGAGAAGCCCAGACCTGCACAGCAGCAACCAAGGGCAGCATGTTACCGCTGAAGCGGGAACATCTCAGGGGATAAGAGCCCAGCTTGACTCAAGTTTCCAGCTGCCTTTGGAGCTGGGTGAGAAGAGGAGAAAAAAACAAAACAAAATCCACAGAAAACAAAATACCCCATGGAATAGGGTTGTTCCTTGAAAACAGAAAACGTGAAAACACAGCCTTGAACATTACAATGCCATCTTCATGGAGATGCCTTTCAGTAGAGATGTGCACTTCAAATACAACAGCCTGCTGAATGTACATTTCCCTAACGCAGATCTCAAACAAGCCTCCAGTACAGAAGACCACCAAATGACCAAGTGCCTCAATAATCCTTAGTTTCAGAGCTAGATCAATAGAAAAGAGATAGAGTAATGGAGAACAAGCCACACCTCCCAACATGACAAAGACAGGAGAGAGGGAAAAATAAGTAAATAAAAAGTAAAACCATCCCACAGCAATAACAGTAGCTATGATAAAGTGTCAAAGAAGAAAGAGGAGGGGAGTGAAAATAGGAAGGAAGAGGCATTTTGTAGAGCACAGAGAAGCAAGAGAAAGTGAGCTGCACAAAGCCACGTGCACAGGAAGAAGCATGACATGATATTCTTACTATATCATTATCCAGGAAAGAATGAGCTTTCTTGCAAAACGTCTTGGTCTCAAGCTCCCGAGACACAAATGAGACCTCTTTCAAAATCGCTTTCACCAGTGGCTCCCAGGTCCCTGCCCCAGTGGGGCAGCCCACACGGACGCCAAGCACGGTGAGAAAGACGTATCTGCATGCAGGTAGGGAATTAAGACTGCACCCCAACATAACGCTGTTACCACTAGCCATTTCTTCCAGTGCTACAGGACGTTTGGCCTAGTTGCATTCTCACCTATGTTTTCAAGGTGAACGACCACTGAAGAGTCCCCCATATAAAGGCAGTAGAGCCGATCCATATGGGTACTTAAGGTCATGAACTGAAACTAGAAAGTTTGCAAGAAGCTGTAACGCACAGCGCCAGAGAGACCTGCGAGAATCCACATCTCACGCTAGAGGTCCCCACAGGCTAGCACAACCCATTTTGTGTCGGCCTGGGTGATTCAAGTACACTTTCTGAAGCAGGTCTGCCCGACTTGTACTACACGGCTGCTGGGGTGTCACACCTTGCCGGCTGGGGACGGCGGCAGCGTCCACCTGCAGGTCTCCGGGTCTTCAAACCCTGCAGCCATGCACACTCATCGCACCCAGCCTGCTCCTGGGGACAAACTGGAAATAAAAGTTGACCCAAGCCATTCAAAGTGTTGCGGCCCCCAAAAGGGCAGAGAAGGAAAAGGAGGCGAGGACCTCGCCACCAGTGTCCCCAGGCAGCAGACCATGTGCAGGGATGCATCCAGTGCCAGGGGCCAGTTCCTGCCCTTCACAGCAGACAAGTTCCCATGCTGCTCGCCCTGCATCAGGTTTCACTTCATCCCCTCAGGTTCTCTTTCTGCAGAGACAGGGGACAGAGCCATTTTCCCACAGCCCAGAAAAATGCACGATATTTTGGGATTCGAGTTAAAGGAAAGGAAGCTAGAAGCAGGATTTTCCTTCCCTCCCTGAAAATAATAATAAAAATAAGAAATAAGAGCTCAAGGCTCTGTGTCTCCTCCCACTGGAGGATGAGACTCACCACCAAGAGTTAGGAGATTCTCCAGTAGCAGCACACAGGTGCTAATTCTTCAGTGCAATTCCACAAGGCTTTCTCTATTGCCAGAGAAGGCTCGCAGACAGCTCCAGGCTCACTAACAGTCCCCCCGCCCCACCAAGTACTTCCACTACCACACATCCCAGCTTGTCACAAGCTGCCACATTCTGCAGTGGGTGCAAGACACATTTCTGTGACCTCCAAGTATCATATCTGACTAACAGGTATACATGACTACTTATAGTAAGCAAGAGAAATTGCAAAGCATGTTCAATACTGAACATATTTCTTCTTTCAGGAAAAGAGTAGAGAAACTGATTTTAGCCAAAAAGCCCTGCACAGTACCCAGAGAGGCTCATTGCTACATGGAAGAGATGGGCAGTCTCTTCCCTGTTCTACAACACCTTTTGTTCCACAAAGACCTCCTCTGTTCCTCTGGGAGCCTCACACCTCGCTGCAGGACCACCTGAGGGGTCACTAAATCACTGTCTACTCACCTTTGAGGTGCACCTATTCTCTCCACAGAGGATGCTCCATTTCCTTTCATCTCCAACCATAATAACGGTCACATTAAGTGCCTCACAAAGCTTTCAAAGCAGGTCTGTAACTTTAAACACCTGGATTTAAACAGATAAAGTATCTGATTTGGTTGCAAGTGACAGTATAGCTTGGCCCATGTCCTCTGCTGCTTCAGATGTGCCCTTCCTCCCACGGTGCAGTTGTTTGCCTTATGAAAGGGAGCATACATCTGTTTTTCCCTCTCTCATGTGCTACTATAATATTCTACAAGGCACTAGAACAGATACCTCCTAAAAACATCAAATTCTTCATACATACACATTTTTTGAGATTAATAAACCAAATAGGAGTTGTAATGGCTACTGAAAATAACCAAGACAAACTTTCAGGGTTAACACAGGGTGGGGTAACTTCATCTGAAAAAAGAGAGATACAAAAACTGGCATTCATGCCCCAACATATTAGTGCAAACACCTGACCGAAGCCAGCAGGCGCGCCAGCGAACGCCAGCCGACAAGCACATACACTCGATCCTGCCATAGCAGAAATGCTGCTGCCAGCGTTCAGCGCTAGGGACGCTCCGTTTTATGCCTGCTTCCTTGAGTAGCTATTCTCTTCTCTCCCTCCTGCCACCCGCTTTTTCAGGTGCGGGTATGACTTGAAAGACTTCTGTTTGGGACAGAGCATATGCCAATTCCCAACACAGGAAAACAAGATAATAAAGAGCAAAGGAAGTTACTTCCTCCACAAAGAAGGAAATCCATAGTCAGAGAAACAGTAAACCTGTGACGTTAAGAGGTTGGACCTCAATTCAGGGAGGTACATTCAGCACATGTCCGAGTGCTACCAGAGTGAATGGAATCGGAAGCATATGTGCTGGTCTTAATTGCTGCAATTAAAAGGAGAAGGAGGGGGGTTTACAACACTTATTTAACTCCGTGGCCTCAGGAAAACTTTGGGGCAAAAATCAAGTCTTTGTCAAAGAGTGAACACCCCTACTGCTTTGAAGGGGGACTGCTCCCAACATATACTTTGAGGCCATCCTACCACCCAAGAAGTTCTCCCACAAAACAGAGGGCATCTGATTGTTTAGGTTAAGGACAGAAGAAAAAGATTCCTAACGTTAAAGCTGATTTAAGGACAGAAGAAAAAGATTCCTAACATTAAAGCTGACTTTTCAGGCCTTCTTCACAAAAAAGATGGTCCCTTCCCTGTCAAGCGCTGCTTTGCACATCCCGTTCAAGCAAAGCAGTCACAACCCGGCCACGGCGTTTGCCTGCACCAACACAACAGCAGGAAGAGCTAAGGAATTTTTCGTAGCTGTAGCAGGAAGAATCGTGATTTTTCCACCTAACCAGGAGACAGACACCCAGGTGCACATCACAGCCTCGGCACCCTGAAGCCTTGCTGTGTCAGAGGGGCCTCTGACATTCAGCGTTTGTTGGGGAGACACAGCGCTCTCAAAGTGCGCTTGTGGAAAAACGGCTACGTTTCTCGAAGACCTCCAAAACACAGATTGCTCCTGACATACATTTCCAGTTTCAAGGCCTCTGGGAGATCCTGCTTCAGCTGCAGAGGCAAAAAAGAAAACACCACTATCCTGACCCAAATGGAAAAAGAGGCACAGATGGAAGTACAGCGAGATATTGGAAACGCAGGCGAGCGGTAAAACTTGGGTCGCCCCTGTAGCCCGGAGCTGTGCTCTCACAGCACGCACAGATGCCTCCAACCCAGCAGCAGTAGCAGCCACAAACACCCCATCCAGCCCTTCCTACGCTTTGCCTCGATGCAACGTGCCACCTCACCTCTTCCCACACAAGGCAAGCCAGGACACAGCTGCACTGCCGACTCGGCCAGAGCACA